TCAGTCCGCTCCGTACTCCTTTTCGGCCAGCTGTGAGACCTGGCCACTGAGAGTGGAAGACATGAAAAGATTAGCTGTCTTTGATCATAGGTGCCTGATAGGATCCCACACATTTTGGAATTGACTGTTAGTCTTGCATAAATGGTATATCATCATTTCTCACGCACTTTGTTATTGACTATTACGATCAATTATTTCAAATGCTGTTAGCTGTCCATATTGTTGTAAAATGTATAAATACCATGACTTTCTTTGTCGTTGTGGTTGTACTACAATACACAGTCACAGTCCAGTCTTTGTCTTTTGATATTTGCGTGCTTCACTGAATCGGAAGGTACCACAAGCAGATAGGCATATTAGTCAGGCGCAGACAGAACAAGGCGACAACGTCCTCATTTAATTCCCTACCGTTATAACAGTGCCTGCGTTCTATCTCTCGTGTAAAGTGGTAGGTGTAATAAGGTGAGAAATATTGAGGTTAGGCGTCGAGTTCTAGGTAAGGTGGGGAAATCAATCGACGAAGTTGTGAAGTTACAAAGACTGAGATGGTTAGGACATGTGTTACGTATGCATACCTAGTCATCGCCTTCCTCGACGAGCAATGTTAGCGGATACAGGGTCAGACTGGAAAAGAGCTAGCGGCGGTCAAACCAATGGTTGGAAACAATTGGTGACATGACTCAAAATCTTTCTCAATGACTGGCGCACATGCATCCACTCCTTGTGACTTATGATTTCCAATTAAACTATGTTGTTCTTCGTTACTACTATTCCTTTGTCTCACACCTCTGTTTACTGTCTCTATGATGCCTTTCTTGTACTTTCTTCTCTTGCTTTGTGTGCTACAAGGAGGGAGTGTGGCGACTTGAACTTCCGCACATATGTGCAAAGTTCTATGTCGAAAACAGACAGACAGACATTCATGCCTGACAAAACCACACCTTTAATCAAGTTCATATTTCTTTTTTATTGCATAGTAAAATGTATATGTTTTTGTTGTTGTTGTTGTTGTTGAGTAGATAACTTCGTTTGTTCTAAGAGTTTAAACAGAAATTGAGAACTGTAAAGAGACATTTAAATAAATAAATAAATAAATAAATGAGACATGTTATGCAAACAGGATAGATTAAATATGTGAAGCATACTTTATATCTATTTTATTGAAAACACAAAAGTAGCACCAAGAGATGTGTGCCACAAAACAACAATATACAACTGATTATGATTGCGATTCTTGACCATATCTGATATCATTTTGAATCATTGTTTTGAACTGAATTGTTTTAACCCGAATCAAGAAGTTGTGATGCACTGTGAACTGATGCTAACATACGATAAATATCTTCTATTCAACTACACCAAGTCATCGACTGACCATCTTTCCGCTTTTTCCATCCAGTCTCATGGCTAGAGAATAGAATACTGACTGAATCGAGACTTTGTATTTGAAAAGGACACGTTCAGATGATGTTCCTACTATGGCCTACTACTTGGATTAAAGTTTCTTTTTCTCACCAAGGGTGCCTATTATCTTTACCTTTCTCTTTCTTTCGCTTTGTCTATTATTTGTTATAATTCGTACTCTTCATTCTAGCGTTCTCTTAATACTATCGACTTTTTATTTATAATATTCGGACTTATTATTACTGATATTATCCCTGTTCTATATATATATATAACTTCAGCTATTTAATTTCACATATTGGTTATTTCATGATGAACAATTCACTGCAGTCTCACTATTGTGGTGAGAGCTGGCTGCGAGCAAGTCGAAATTGTAGACAACTATTTGCGTCAATGTTTACCTTCCAAATAGGGGTCATGACAAAAAACAATAACAAAACCTAACCTTGAGGCATTCGACAACCAATCACAGCAGACATAACGTGTGCAAATACGATTTGTAGACATATGGCTTAACTTTTTAAGAAACTGTCACAAGCAGTACAGAATAACCTTCAGACCAGTACGATGTCTAAGCCACTGAAACCGGTGTTTCCAGATGACGATACTCAATGAATGCTGATCTCCACGGTGTCGAAATTACACAATGTCAGACATCGGAATTGCTTACAAGATGATGCCACTGGATACAAGCGATTCAGCGAAGATATAATACACAGATTGGCTAAGTTTCACAGTCGTAGAGCAAGACTGTGCACACTAAAGCATAGTGAATCCAACCTTTGATAGTCAGACTGATGTCGCCAGGCGCATCCCAAATTAGCGTATGTGATTGTAGATCTCACTATATAGTTAAAGATTTCGTTCGTCATACCTTCATCGACAGTCACACAACTACCTATATACACGAACTTGTCGACAAATGCAAGAGGTTCCTCCACAAGTGTAGGTGAGCACCGGTACAGACTGCCAATCATGCAATAGTAGTTACAGTTAAATGACTCAAAACACACACACACACACCTTAGTTCATTACTATACTTCTGGAAATATTCCTTCACAAAGCATTCAATATTGGACAGATGATTGTTAAAGATACAAAAAAGGTATAGACAGGAAAATCAAAACACGTCTTCACAATTAACCAAAACATATAGTGGATTTCATCAGTAGCTGACATTGGTTAGAGAACCATTGGAAAAGCAGCAAGGAGTAATGGACAGCCAGCTGTTTCGTCCTGGTTTGGGACTCTTCATCAGTACGACCCACCGCCAGGGTTCGGACTTACGACCTTCTGGTTACAGGGCGGGCTCGTATACCATTCAGCCACTGGGACCCGGTCCAATGGCCAGTGCATGAATTCTAACTTCTGCCAATTCACGATATAGCACGACCCCTAAGCCAATGTCTTCGGCATGTATTTGTCCTCACATCCGACCTTCTGCACTCTACTGGTCACGACTTCTCACTAGAAGCCCAGGTAACTACCTACTTGAATAGGGCCAGTAGCTAGTGAGCATCTCATTGATAATCAAGTATTGGTTTGTAGGGATTTGGTTGATTGGTTACAGGATTTCATCATGAGCTGATATTGGTTAGAGAACCATTTGGAAACCTGGGAATACTGACAGCTCACCTTGTAACCAGAAGGTCTTGGGTTCAAACCCTGGCGGTGAGTGCGTATATATATATATATATATATATGCTATGTAAATCAATAAATGTAGCCTCACAGTATTTATATTGAAATACATCTGAATGATAACCAAATGCAACACTGATACATTATGCCAAATAAATAAAATTTGTAAAGACTATTTACTGTAAGAAAACCTTATTGTCAAAGATTTTTTCTATTTAAAATTTTGATTATAGCTTGATTCCACACCTCATTTTTTTGGTGCAAGTAGTGAATTTTCAGCATGTGATATCGGTAGCCCAAATTTAGCAGGCCGACCATAGATATAAGGTGTGTGTGTGTCAGCCGGGGATCAAATCCTGGACCATGTGCATGGTCGGTAAGCGTCGTAACCGCTGTGCTTGTCTTAACAAGAAGAAGTAAGAAAAACAAAGATTTATTCCCTGAAGAAATATTCATTTTCAACGAATTCATTTCAGGTTAGGTAGTCATAATAGATAAACTACAGCGGATGGTATTCCTTATTATAATTTGTTTATTAGATGTATCACACACAATGTGAAACAGTATTATTTACTGGATGACACAGTTTCGAACACAATATGAATATTACGGAAAATAAACCAATAAATGTAGCGGACTAGACATAACTTCAAGGTTGAAAATAACGACATTAATAATGATTGGGAAATAATAACGATGATCTCGTGTAAAATTAAAAGAACTATTGGTGAACGATTATCACCAAACCTTAATAATAATAATAATAATAATAATAATAATAATAATAATAATAATAATAATAATAATAATAATGGTGAATTTAGTGAGGTGAAATGAACAGAATTTTCTAAATATGATGACAAGTTGGAAAACCATTACTTAAACACATAAGGTAACAAAGTTCACAAGTAAGGTCATGAATTCGTTAAAGGTCAGAAATGAACATTTGTCAATGAAACAAAGGAACAGAAAAAGAAGAATAAAAGAAAAAAAAGTGCGATAGGGATTGAAAGTGTTTATGTTTATGGAGCATTGGTTGGCCTTATCGGAGGCCAAGGTAAACATACCAATTGAACGCGCATTTCTTCTGTATACAAATAGCCGGTCTTCTGGTATTGATTGCTACCACTTCACTTAATGATAGAAGACGTATTCGAGGTTCTGTAGATCTATTACCAGGAACGCGGTGAATAATTGAGAACACCTGCGCAAGCTTTATCAAGTGTTCAGTATCTACCAAGTGGGCTAAGACTGCACTGTTTACGCATTTAGTTACCCCTTGACTCAAGCATACAGGGGTTCATTTTCATGAGTGCGCATGGATAAAGCTCCCTCTGAGTACGCCCAGTGTAACTAGTTCCACATGAGCATTCGAATTCATAGATACACATTGATTAGGCCATCTTTGGTAATTTTGTCCCTGACTCGTTGCGTGAGTACAGGTTTAGTTGAGAAGCTGAGCACCAGTTTAACTGCAGGAAATATTCTCTCTACTGCTCTATTAAGTAGACACTTTGTAATTCAACTTACGATACAAAGGTTTCTTATCTGCGGTGTCCATCATCGCCCTGTTTCTAGATGTCGACGCATACTTTTTTAGGAAGGTGTCTGGATATCCACTTTCTTGTAGTGTAAGTATCAGTTTACACATTTTTTTCTTAATATATTCCCTGTGGACATATGCGTTTTATTCTAGAACTGAGAAACTCTTAACTAAGTTTCTTTTGTATTGAATCGGTGTGAGGCAATGAAAATGGGTGTACTTACCCGTCCTAGTCTTCTTTCTGAATAGGTTGTAGATATTCTCCTGTCTTCTTGGTGAGAAAGACGTCCTCCCGTGTAAACTGAATAGCTAGGTGAACACTATTAACATCATTCGGAAGCTCCTGTTTATTAGGACTTCTATCACAAACGATGAAGGTATTATCTACGTATCAACAATAATAGTCAAGCCCCTCAATCCTGTCTTTGAGTGGACCATTTTCAAGCTTTGTAGGGAAAATATCCACTAGCATAGGGCTCAGAAGTGAACCAATGGCAACACCATGAACTCATCTATAAAAATCATTGTTGAACATAAACTGGACATTCATAGTACATTTCAATAGTAATTCCTCGACTTTTACCGATGGGATCCCTACATCTATCTTTCGTTCTGTCAGTTGTTCACACAAGTAGTTGACTTTTTCGAGCAGTGCAACGTTGTTGGTAAATAATGATGCTACATCCAGTGACATCATTTTCTTTCCCTTTACATTCAGGCTTTTGGCAGTTTCTACAAAGCTAAATACGTCTTTTAAACTGAAATTCACCAGTTCACGATGTAGGGGTTCCAATGCCTTTACCAACCACTTTGCTGTAGAATGATAGGGAGATTGACACATTTATGTAGGATGGGACCTAGTGGTACTCCGAGGGCTCGTGGACTTACTTTGAACCATATAGTCTTGGTTTATTCGTACCCGAGGGTTTCAATTCATCGAGCGTACACTTAGGAATCAGATTACTCTCAACTAGTGATTTTAATATCTTAGCCATTTCGGGGGTTCGTTTGCCTCATTTTTTTTTTTTTTGATTTACAGCTTGATTCCACACCGCATTTTTGGTACAAGTATGGAATTTTCAGCATGGATATCGGTAGCTCAAATTTTGCAGGCCGACCATAGATATCAGGTGTTCGCCGGCGTGGGCTCGAACCCCAGACCATGTGCATGGTCGGCGAGAGTCCTAACCACTGTGCCACCGACGCACAGTGTCTTTACAGCTACTCAGTTTTTGAAATTTCGTTTATTCACTTAGAATGAGATTCATTTTGTCTACATAATCACTCTTATTCATCGTACCTGTACCAGATCCTTTTTATCAGGTCTAGCTATTATTATGATATTTTCGTTCTTCTTGAGGTCACGTAATGCCTCTCCATGTTTCTTTGTAAATAGACTGTCGACATGATGTTTGTTGTTTTTAAACTGGTAGCTGGAATCGATTAGGGTAATTTTAATATCTTTCTAGCTCATACTTGGATGAAGGAGTTAGATCGCTTGTCAGGGCAAATAGGTTTTTCAAATTGAACATCAATCTATAAATGATCAACCTGATTACGTCTGTCACAGAATTTTGAACCGAGAGGTAAGGCTTTAAGTCGTGTCTTATCTAAGCATAGAGAGAAAAAATTGAAAACCTGCCAATTGTAGTCAACTGGAAAATTAGTTTCAGTCGTTTTTGTACCTAGTCCTTTGGTTAATAATATCAGTTTCTTGCTTTCTCGAGTTTTCGTAACTTTATTCATGTAGTCAATAAATGCATGAATCCTTCAAGTACCGAGGAAGTTCGTCAACTGTATAAAGTCCATGAGAAACATTTCTCTCCATTTCCGATATAAATGTTTGTAGGGATACGATTTAATTAGCAGAGAATCGTTTTAATGACTTCTCGTTCGGTCGTGTTTTTGCATTGACGAAGGGATTTTGAATATAATTCAGGATACCGGTTATTCACAATACAATTTCGAATAAATATCACATTCATTTTCGCTCCCGTGACTCTAGCATTATACTTCAGGTACTCATCGTGTGCCTTCAGAGCTACTGGATGCGAAAACGAATGTGGAATTTATTCGAAATTGTATTGTGAACATGTACCTGTATGGTTGTGAAAAGGGGTAACCAAATGCGTAAATAGTGCAATCTTAGCCCATTTGATCGATACTGGACACTTGATAAACTTGACCAGGCGTTCTCAGTTCTTCCCTACGATCTTGGTAGTCTATCTACAGAAGCTCGAATACGTCTTCTATCGATAAGTGAAGTGGTAGCAATCAATACCAGAAGACCGGCTATTTGAATGCAGAAGAAATGTGTTCATTTGGTATGTTTACCTTGGCCTTCAATAAGGCCAACCAATGCTTCATAAACATAAACACTTTAAGTTCCTATCGGACTTTTTTTCTTGTTTTCTACCTTTTTCTTTTTCTGTTCCTTTGTTTCATTGACAAATGTTCATTTCTGACCTTTAACGAATTCATGACCTTACTTGTGAATTTTGTTACCTTATGTGTTTAAGTAATGGTTTTCCAACTTGTCATCATATTTACAAAATCCTGTTATTATTATTATTATTAAGGTTTGGTGATAATCTTTCACCAATAGTTCTTTTTATTTTACACCAGATTATCGTTATTATTTCCCAATCATTATTAATGTCGTTATTTTCCTCCTTGAGGATATATATCTAGTTCACCCTTTTCGTTGTTTATTTTCTGTAGTAATCATACAGTCACACACACACACACAGTACTGATTGTGGGCACTCTCGGAACCTGTCTGTCTGTCTGTTTTCGACATAGAACTTTGCACAAATGTGCACCAGTTCAAGTCGCCACATTCCGTGTAGCACGCGAAGCAAGAGAAGAAAGTACAAGAAAAGCATAATAGAAACAGTGAGCAGAGGTGTGAGACAAAGGAGTAATAAAGAAATACAAAACAGTTTCATTGAAGATCATAAGTCACAGGGAGTGGATGCATCTCCACCAGTCATTGAGAACGATTTTGAGCCATGTCACCAATTGTTTCCAACCATAGATTTTTACCGTCCCGAGGACCCCAGCCTGGAAGTCTACACCTTCCTACGTGGCTTAGACCAACTGTTGTGGATTTCATTGACTGGTGCCAAGTTTTTGTTTGACCGCCGCTAGCTTTTTTCCAGCCTGACCCTATATCCGCTAACATTGCTCGTCGAGGGAGGCGATGGCTTGGCATACGTAACACATGTCCTAACCATCTCAGTCTTTGTAGCTTCTGTACCTTTGTAGAGCGTTTACATTGATCATTAAATTATTTCATCTCATGTAATCTCATGTTCTCATTGACCATGCATATTAAAAAAAAACTAAGGGACTATTGTTTTATCCCCCATCTTATACTTGTTGCACAATACACATTTCTGATATGAATCGAATTTGCCTTTACTGACTGGCTATTGTAGTCTTAAATTAATGGATTTATAATTGTATAAGCTGATGAAGAATTTATTTTGTGAAACCACAATTGTTCGCTCTAACGATTGTTGTGTTGAACGGGAATTGGAGAGGAGAAGATAAGAGACTGAATAACGAATCTTTAGTATTAAAAGAAAAAAACACATTACATCGGTATACTCCTTGCCTTAGTAACGTTGCTCTGTATCAGAAAAGAGTACATTTTTTTGAGTGGCTAGCGATTGGCCAGCCCGAGGTTACACAGCCTGTCCAATGAGTTTGACACATGACCACTAAATGCAAATTTCAGAAACAAACACATTTCTACCTCTGTAGCAAGCAACGATTAACTTACAATGTTGATTTCAACTTTTGGCGGCTTTCTATCAATAAATCTGCATCACACCACAATATTACTTCCTTAATTCACCTAACTGAGAATTTTCCCGTTGTCCTTTATTGTTCTAATCAGTAGAAGTGATGATGATAATAATAATAATCTGCTTCATTGCAAAACAGTACTTGTGATACAGAATAGAATTCTTAGCATTTTTACTACAGTATTATGCATCCAGTTAGTACATTAACAATAAATAAAATTCTACATAGATTATGGGTAGTCTCAGTTAGTTTTGACAACAACATATTGGCATGTCGGTAGCAAAGCCAAAAGTGAACAGAATGTTTGAAGGTGTCAGAAAAGTAGATACTACTAGCATATTTACTGGAGTAAGCGGCAACAAAATGGTCGAGATATACAGAGTGTGAAAGAACGAAGAAGAATGTTTTAAGTAGAGTTTGTAAGGAAGAGAGAAACAAAGCAGCACATAACAAAAAAGAGAGAGAAAAGGAAAAGAAAGAAAGAAAACGTTGTACCTATAAATGATTTGAATTGGAAAAAGGTGATCCAATTGTTCTACTGACTATTTAATAAGTTATAGGTATCACGCCTAATGCTTTCTTTATCGCACAGAACACAAGCCAAGTAGGATATGGTTGAATTTTTGTACTTACCAGTGCGAGCATATAGTTTTCTATATAAGCTTCTGGTTCTGCCTGATGATATACAAGGGGAGAGTTGTGAATGAAGAGGGTGACATGAGTTAGATAAAATGGATTTAGCCCATTTTTCACATGAGTCCAAGTGCCTGTCGACCAGAATATTAGCAAGCTGGTTAAGTGGCACATTGTTTACCCTACTGAAAACCTTTAACATACTACGTAATAAGGCATAGTCCTTCTTCAGTGGCCCTGGAAAAACTAAGGAGGAACAAAATAGAGAATAATAAGCAGGATGCAAGAGTTAACGAATCGTAGGAGTAAGGGTTGGGTTATTCCAGAATGTCTTGACTACTTGATGTAGAAGGTAAGTGTTATGTTGCTGCTGCTGGGTGGTTAATAGTGGTTTTCCCCGTCGCCAAATTGTTATGTACTCTTCGCTAAATTATTGTTATGGACTGGTTGAGAATTTAATAGTCCTGACACAAGAAGGAGGAAATCAGAAGACCACTAGGTTTGCGATGATACTTCTATTTTCCAAAACACCAGGAGAAGCAATAAGTGGTATCACACCAAAGTAAGTCACACAAATTGTGAGAGCGAAATATATATGACCATCGAGACAAGTGTGTGAACAAATCAATAGACAGTCTTAACATGAATGGCTAATTATAATGGAGTGTCGATCCAAATATACATAGCGAAATATAGCAGACATGTCAACAACCACCATATATGGATATATGTCACCTAGCAACGGACTGTCAACAAACACTCATATTATATTATATATAATATAAGGAGAATATACATTGTTAAAGGAGACAGGTTCATCAAGGTGAAATGGTCACAGACTAAGCGAGCAAACAGAAAGAGAGATCACCATATATATATATATATATATATATATATATATATGGATACATATCAGTAAGATGGAATATTTTCTTAGAAATCATAAAGATATAAGACGACCGGGAAAGATCAGCTGGTAGAATGACATCAAGATATTTGATTTCCGACTTAGTCACTATTTCAGTGCCATCTATGTTACATACCTCATGAGTGATAACCAGCTTTTTTAGGTCAGATTTATGCCTAAAGGTGAAATTGACTGTTTGACAATCGGAGAGATTTAAGGTAAGACCGTTTTCCTTGTACCACTGGCTGATTTGTAATGAAAAGCAAATAATAAATACACGTAAGTATTGTCAGTTATAAGCCTTAGAGAAAAAGACGATCACGATGATTTCTTAGGTTAGACAATTACACAGAGAGATGACTAATAATTCTTGACAACCAACTCACCTGATGATGACAGAGTAATTATAATTAAGTTGATATGACCTGGTTGACAATGTTAGGGTGGGGGGGAATCTGTGGTATACATATCAAAAGGAGTGTTGGCAACCGATGAAAAGCAAGGAAACACCTGTAGGAGGATAGAAATTTAGAAAATATCCACAAGAGGTGAAGAGAAACTAAGATAAATACACATGTGTGTATGTCATGACGACACGCTGGAAACACAACTAACTTACTAACTACCTTAACACTTCACAAGTTAAACCGTAGAATTTCAGGTTTTTTCATAATTATAAATATAAAAAAGGATATCAACAAATTAAACGAAATATTAAGTCTAGATAATTATATTTTACAAGTGTGAGAAACTTACATGATCCCACCAACATTCAGAGAAATTTGGTAACTGATGCTCTAATGAGTATTCTAATACTTCAAAGGCAAAACTCAATACATTGCATATCCAATAGTCACGAAGAATTAACATTTTCGCCCACCAACCAACAAAGTGGACTACTACAAAACCATCCATTTTTGACTAAATTGAAAAAAAAATATAATATAAGAATAGGGTGTTGGTGGGGGGTGGGGTTGGGGGCAATAAAGGAAATTAGAATAATAACAAAATATCTGAACAATAAATGATATATATATATATATATATATATATATATATATATATATATATATATATATATATATATACGAGTTGATCACGGATTGATATCAGTTAGAGAACCATTGAAAACCAGCACTAGAGTACTGGACAGCTGTTTCATCCTAGTTTGGGAGTCATCGCCAGTACGAACCCAGGACATTCGGGTTACAAGACAAGCTCGTACACCATCCGGCCACTGGGACCCAAATCAATGGCTCATGAATTCTAACACTTCTACCAATTAGTGATCTAGCGTGACGCCAACCAATGTCGTCGGTAGGTCATCCATCCTCACACTCGACTGGATGGATCTGAATGGTCACGACTTCTCACTAGAACTCCAGGAAACTCCATCTTGTAGCAAGTCATCAATAAATATATATATATATAAAGATATATATATATATATATATTTTAATACGAACTGTGATCACCTTTTGACCCCGAATAGTTCGTTTCACGATAACTGGGGGTACTGATTGAGGAGTAGACTTATTTGAATAACGAAAATACTCATTCAGACATCTATAAGCAAACAAAATAAGTGAGCAAAGAATATCCTTTCCGATAATTTCTTCCACTTTTCGCTCTACAATTATATATGCACGTTTATATACATAGAATATTCTACTAGAATAGTAGTTAATGACAATAATAGTGTTTTTTTTTAAATAATATCGATTTGTAAAGTAAGATCACAATGGAATTACAGTTCATGAGAGATGCTTAAATTATAATAATAGTAAAGATATAATAGCAAATGGAACATTAGCTAAAATTAAGAAAATTTCTACAAAAATTTTAAGATCATTCCCACCTAGATGGCTAACGTAAGGACAGTGTCTGAACTAGCTTCTTTTGGACACATAATTTAGGCTTCTTAATGTAGATCCCAACAGCCAGCCTCAGCAATACTTAGTAATCGAACTGTCAAGGCGAAATTGAGATTTGTTGGTTAGTATGCGGTAAATGACTTTTAAAGCCGCCTCGTTGACATCAATCTTGTGTTTTGTATCGACAAGGTTGATGTTAAGTAAACGACACACAAAATCTATTCGTAGCGCTATTCTGTCTCATTTTGTGGATGCGACAGAACACAAGATTGATGTTAACCAGGCTATCAGGATCATTCATCGCATACCAACAAATCTCAATTTTGTCTTAAGAGTTCGATTACTAAATATTGCTGAGACTGGCTGTTGGGATCCACACTAAGATGCCTAATTTGTGCATCCAACAGAAGCTAGTTCAGACATTGTCCTTGCTTACTTTGGCCATCTAGGTGGGAATGATCCTCAGTGTTTGTAGAAATTTTGTTAATTTTAGCTTATGTTCCATTTGCTATTATATCTTTACTATTATTATAATTTAAGCATCTCTCATGAACTGTAATTCCATTGTGATCTTACTTTACAAATCGATATTATTTAAAAAAAAAACACTATTATTGTCATTAACTACTATTCTAGAATATTCTATGTATATAAACGTGCATATATAATTGTAGAGCGTAAAGAGGAGGAAATTATCGGAAAGGATATTCTTTGCTCAATTATTTTCTGTTTTATATATTTGAATCAGGAGATATTTAGAAGACAAATTTCGCGAGATGATATGTTCAATTCATAGTTTTCTCTACAATCGCTTTTCAACTAACATGGTTCAAATTAATGAAATTAAAATAAAATGCATGACAGTTATTCAGTTACATAAAACAAAAGTACATACTAATGAACAATCTTATATTTAAATACGTAAAGTAGTTTACCTATCATTGGAGAGTGACCAAATTATGCAGTTGACAGTTCAAAGACCTCAGTCAGCCCATTAGGCGCACATTCTACACCACATCTCTTTTTTTTACCTCACATGCCGAACATTTTCGATCCCTATATCTACGAATAAAAGATGAAATTCTCTGGGTTCTACTCCAAACTGTATCTACAAGTTCATCCGAAGTTGTGGTGACACCTATATAGGTAGAACCAATAGGATGCTCCAATGTCTTTGAAAAGAACATGTTCCAGATGTGGTTATTTAAAACATATAGAAAATTCCAATGCAATTAATCTGAATAGAAATCCATCAGCACCATCCACTGCAAAACACTAATTAATATCAGGTCACAAAATCAATATTAATGACTGTTTCACAATGATTTCATCACACAACTCTAATTCAATCTCGGTTATTAAAGGTGATGGAGGAACTTTGCACTAGTCACATATTTCGTAAACTACGTGTACAAAAAACAATAGACTTCAACCTTCTTTCGTCTACCATGAACTACTTGACCTATTTAAAAGTATGATTAGTGGTTAGTATGTACTTTTGCTTCTTATATAACTGCGTAATTGTCACGCCTTTTACTTTATTTTATTATTGTGAACCGTGCTAGTTGTAAAACGATTGTGGCGAAAACTACGAAATGAAGGTATCATCTAGCGAAATTTGTCTTTTAAATGCCTCCTGATTCAAATTTATCCAAAGGACTAATTGTTTTAAGTAGACATATAGAAAAAAAAAATAACGTTTCAGTCAGCACATCGGTCTGAACTTCTCTTCATGAAGTTTAACAGAATGCTTCATTCAATTAACCTGTAACACTAAATGCTATCTTTCTGAAAATAGATACGAACAGAGTGGTGGTTAATCTCCTTCTTATTATTATTATTGAAATCTAACTGACTGTGCGCCATTATCACTCCTTAAAAAAGGGGACTCAACTTTAATCTAAACAAAAGACGATTGTCGGCCTTCGAAATAGTTCCAGCCATTGATCCGTAGTAAAAGTGTGTGACAGTCAAATTGGTAAAGGTGATAAGGCGCAAAAATTTCACCTACACTAGTAACATCAGTAAACAAATTTGCTAAAAGCAAAGCAAAAGCGAACAACCAGTATAAAGAAAACACGCCTGTTATGATCTGTGTAGATATGTCTGTCTGTCTATCCGACTATTTTCGACATAGAACTCTGCACATATATGCGGAAGTTCAAGTCGCCACACTCCCTCCATGTAGCACACAGACCAAGAGAAGAAAGTACAAGAAAGGCATCATAGAGACAGTAAACAGAGGTGTGAGACAAAGGAATAGTAGTAACGAAGAACAACATAGTTTAATTGGAAATCATAAGTCACAGGGAGTGGATGCATGTGCGCCAGTCATTGAGAACGAGGACTTTGAGTCATGTCACCAATTGTTTCCAACCATTTGTTTTTACCGTCCCGAGGACCCCAACCGGGAAGCCAGTCTACACCTTCCTACGTGACTGGCTTAGACTAACTGTTGTACATTTCATTGACTGGTGAAACCATGTTTTGGTTTGACCGCCGCTAGGTCTTTTCCAGCCTGACCCTGTATCCGCTAACATTGCCTGTCGGTCGAGGAAGGCGATGACTAGGCATGCATACGTAACACATGTCCTAACCACCTCAGTCTTTGTAACTTCACAACTTTGTCGATTGACTTCCCCACCTTAACTAGCACTCGACGCCTAACCTCAATATTGCTCACCTTATTACACCTACCACTTCACACGAGAGATAGAGCACAGGCATCTATGTGTATATATATGCAAAAAGCAGACTTCGGCTCCATTGCAGACTGGTGTCCCAACTAAGAGGCGAGGCATCCCACTTTCTGCAGTTCACCCTGACGTTTCCACTATAAATTTCTCCAGTCCACCCGAAGAAAATGCTGGCTGGGACACTCTTATAAAACATCCATGACTCGGTAACACTAACTGACTGCTTCGACTAACTCACACTTCTATAGAAACATACACAAGCAGTGCAATTATCCAGCACATCCACATCTCCATCTACATTTACACAGACACATACACTCGCATTCACACACGAATTTCAACTTCAAACCAATCGAATCAATCTCCTTATCTCACTCACACTCTATCTCTCCCTACCCATATAAATCTCCATCCCTCTCACTCTTCTCAATAACAAACATGCACATGCATGCGCCAGGCACACACTCAATCGCTCACTCACACACACAAACGCATACAATCGTACACACACACACATACACACACAGGCACTAATCGGTGTCATCAATGAAAGACGTAGAGACAGAATGTTGACCTGATCGGTAGTAAGCATCTCGTCGTCTGATCCATTCACCGACATATGCAAGGATCACCAACACATATATCGCCACCCTGTAAGCACATTGAATCGGTCAATCATTATCATTCCATGATCACATCAATCAAGCAAGTTGAAGAGAAATTCATTACACTTGACTAGCTGATAATACGCTACACACACACACAGAGAGAAGTCATACTCTACACCCTGAAACATCGTTCGGATCACGACTGGAATCAGTGCATAGTGCACATCGCCTTCCAGGAAACTGTCATCACAAGCAGCCTCATCAGATGAATGACATTCATCCTCCTCCAGTCGTGACAAAACGAACCACATAGAAGTATGGACAGTGGTTGTGGTGTGTAGAATAGAGGATGTGTATTTCCTGGTTATTTGGCGTCTGTGTGTGTTGTTTGTGAATTGTGGTGGAGCGTTGGTGATTAGTTGTGTGACGTTCGGTGCATGGTGTTTGTAGAGATTGAGTGTATTTTTGTGAGAACTGTGTGTTGAAGAAAGCCAGGGACCAAGCTTAATACTGAACCCATGTGAAAAAGTCAGCATGACAAAGTCAAGGGCGACAGTGAATAAATTGAAGGCTGAAACAAGCAAAATGTTGCAGTGAATAAAAAGAGAAACTCAGGGTATCACTTTGGTTTACTCTGACTCCAAAAAGTTGCAGTCCCTGTAGATTTTATGGATTACCAAAAATACATAAACCAGACGTTCTGTTACGTCCAGTTATGGATTTTACTAATTCCCCAACTAACA